GGGCGCGGAGCGGGGCGGCGCGGGCAGGGCTGGATGCGATCAGGGTGGGAGGGAATATCGGCTTCCCGCATGGGCACGGACACGTCCCGCCTGAGCACCGTCCTCCCTGCCCTTGAGCAGTCCGGAGGGGGCAGGCACAGCTGCCCCGGGCAACATCTCACCGCCCTCACACTCAGGAATTTCCTCCTCATGTCCAACCTCCATCTCCCCGCTCAGTTTAGCACCTTGACCCATTGTCCCCTCACTACACACCCTTGTCACCAGCGCCTCCCCAGCTCCCCTGTAGCCCCCTCAGGCCTGGCAGGTGCCCCCGGCCCTGGGGGGGTGTCAGGCCCTGCCCCTGCTCCTGCCCAGCAGCGGGAGGGAAGGTGGGAGGAAAGTACCTTGGTCCTGCCCTGCTGAAAAACGTCTCTCCCCTCAGTGGCTACCGTTACTGGGTTTTACTTCCTTTCTGCCTTCACAAGCTGGCTCACCTGTTTTTAAATACAAACGAGTTTGGAGTAAGGTGGTAGGTGCCAAACACTGGGAGTTTTGCAATGAGGAACACAGACACAGGAGGAGCACGGAGGAAGTTTAATGCCACAGACTATTGCACGTAGCCGTGGCCAGTACTGAGAACATTTTTGCAAAAACGGTATTTGGCATTTACAGCTACGTTTTCTTTAGCTACAAGGAAGCCTGTGTACAAAGAAACTGTGGGTACATTTAACACACAACAGTTTATATGAAAGGAAGTTAATTACTGTGGTCAGTGTGATCATATGAATAAAACCTAAGAGCTGTCAGTATAACAAAAGAGTAAGACTGTTTTTCTTTAAAAAGCTTTTTGGTCTTAACATTGAACTGCCTTGATTTAAAAAATAATAATAACAAATAATAATAAAAAAATGGGTCTGCTTTTTCCTTGTCAGGCTGCAGCCTCAAAAAAAGCAACGAGTCCATCTTGATCACAGCCATCCAGAATTTCCAGAAGAAGAGGAACTTTAGTTTTCACGTTGGTGCCTTTAAATTTAAATTTATCTATGAAGAGATCTGTGATCATACCTGCAAAGGTAAAATCCCAGGACTTATTACTCACCCTCTTTACATTACGAGGTATCTCAACGCATTATTACATACCACCTACTCTAGCTGATTCTGGGTTTAGAGACAAGACTCCTTTTAAACTCTGTGTTTTAAACAATGATTTTAACAAACCCAAACCACTGTTGGAATAGCCCAGATTCCAGCATCATTCCAGAAGTGTGTATTTCTGCCTTAGAATTACCCACACCTGAAACACTAAAAGAGAGGAGCTGTATCACAGGGCAGGCAACGCTGTGCATACATGAGCTCACGAAAGTGGGTGTCTGGCAGAGATTCCCTGACCCAAGAGCTGTACAGGGAACACCAGAGCTTACAGGATTTTCTTCACTAAATTAGATCATCTTCTGCAAGTCTCCCTTCCCTCCCCATGTTTTTCTGATGTTTTCTGACCAGACATATATATTCACATAGCTGCTGCTGTTCTGAAGCTACCCAAGTGTACCCACTTACCAAACTACTTAAATTCTGCTAATAATGACTTCCTAACTATTTCAGACATGTCCAGCATGCTCTCCAAACATGAAGTCGCATTGAAATAAAAAAGCTGAATTGATCAACACACCATAAAGTCTCTCAAGATGTGCAGGTTGTCTCTTGTATTCTTCCAGCAGCTGATCTGCCTCTTCCAAAATGCTGCGGTACTTCGGTAGCAGGAAGTCCACGTTTCCTTCATGAACTTGTAATTCCTCAAAGACATTTTACATAAGCATTAACAGCAGTTAATTATCACAATAGCATAAAAATAAGATGAAATTAAGCTTGGGTCTGGCAGGAGGAAGTACTTCAGAAACAAGGCATCTAAACCTTCTAAACTAGCAGGAGTTATTTTCAAAGTGCCTCCTTTTCTAGTCTTCTAATGACATTCCAGGTGTTATTTGCTACTTCATAGACTAGATTCTCAAAATCCTGTGTATTCCAGCTTTTAGAGTACATAAATTCCTGGAAAGCCCAGCACATGCTTAAGTCTAAAGGTACAAGTTAATCCCAAAAGTATCATTCATCTTAACAGCAAAGACCTCTTCTAAATGAGTCTACCGATTTAGGATGGTCAACAGTACAGATCTTTTTATCCCCCCCATCCCCATATTGTTCTTTTTTAGATGAAAGGTAATAAATTGCACCGTGAGTCTGCCGGGATAACAGCTCTCATCAATCATCAGATTATTTTACTGCATATTAGTAAGTTGTTATAAAAAAACCAAAAAACTGTTAAAAAGATTTGTCAAAGGAGATTTGCTGCCTAAAAAAACCACCTGAAACAAGCAATATGAGCAATGTTATTATTAAACATATATTAAAAATAGATTATCTCCCTCCCTGGTTTGCCAAATCCAAGTCCCTGTAAAATACCTCTAGTGATAATATCGATACACACTATTCTCACTGGTAGTCAATTTTTCTACTAACTGAAGAGTTCTGACAACTAAGATTTTATTTCCCCATAGGACAAGAGAATTGGTTGTCCAGTTTCATCTCTTCTCCTTCTCAAAAAAAACCAAAAAACACCACAAAAAAACCAAGAGAGACAGATGATGGCAAGTTTCTGATGGTAGAATGGTGGTTGCTGGAAAAAGTCCAAGAACTGAGACAAGCTGCCTAGCTGGTACGTCCCAAGGACCAACCACTGACGAGGGTATTAAGCAAAATATTAATAAACAGGTAATTTAGAAGTTGTAACACACTAGGATCAAGTTCCAAAGCAAGGAAGTCCGTCCTAGCCTGGATGATCATCCCCAGATCTAAAAAACTTTTAGAGGTTAGTGGAAAGAGACAAAGAAGGAATCGGAAAATAAAAGCAGGCAAAAAGAGAACATAAGCTCGCTGCCTTCTACTGTCCCAATCCTCAACACCAGTCAGTAATCCTACACGTTATTCACTGGTTATATAGTACAAACAGGAATTGCATTTGAAGATGTCTGTGTCTTAGTTCATTAAAATACATGTCTGGGAATAGAAAGGGAACAGATACCAGTATGAAACACATCTGACTCGAGGCCTAGGGCTCAAGTGGTATCTGACAACACGCAATTCTTCCACAGGAGCTCAGATACTTACTCTCAAAGCATCTATTAAGTGAACCTTCTTGGCCAACAGCTGCTGATACTCTAATTTAGGGTGGATAAGCTTTAATGTGTGCCTCACAGATTCTTCATTTATGTCTAATAGGGAATAAAAAAAACCCAACAAGCAAATGAATAATACATATTCCATTTATAAGAATATAAAATGAAGTCAAGGACAGCAAAATACATAAGAAAGCTTTACCATATGATATGTTGAGATTAATCTTCCTTTTCGTAGCCTCTTTGGAAAGCACATCTTTCAAGATAGATATTGTAGAAATGTTGTCAGACTTAAAACATCCCTCACCTTTTCTAAAAAGGAGGAAAAAGTCAAGGAAACAAACTTAAACACACATGCAGTGCATTAAGATTTATCCCTACGTTAAAACATAAAGCCTGTAAATTAATGCCCAAATCAAAGAAAGCAACCTCTGTAAGGCCTGTACCTATTCTCCATGTACCAGGAGGCTGTATACACAGCTATGCTATTCCCTCCTTCCCAGCATCATCCCAGACAAAGAACAGTTTGTTCCAGTAAATGTGTCAGTGTACACATCTCAGTTATACACACGGCAGTTATCTTTGCTGTAGGGCACTAGGGTCATTCAAGTAAGATTTCTGACTGTATTCATCCCTCCCAAGTTTTATCATTGCAATGCCTTGAAGCCAAACAGCAAGCTTCAAGAGCTTCCCTTCCCCTCAAAAAAACCACCACCCAACAACTTTCTACGTTACGAGTAAACAACATGTATGGTAGGCTGGGAGAAGGCTGGAATTTGTGTAATTACAACAATTAATTTCCTTCCCCCTTACAGTTCCATTTTCAGGTGGAAATATATAATTTGCTGAAGGAAGATATAACTAATCTGAGAACAGAGTACTAATCTTAAACACAGAAATAACTCTAATATAAGTTGCTGAAAACACAGGTACTCAGCTTAATCCTTATCACATTTCAGTTCACTATGCTCCTCAATAGAAAAAAAAAAAGAAGTTAGAAAACAATAAGCATTACATAGTAACTTCACCATATTATTTAGCTATTTTCTTTAAATTGTAAAAGAAAGCCATCATCTTAAAAATGGATCAAGCCTTTCCTCCCAGGAAATTTTGGGTTTTTGACCAATTCAAGAAAAATCCTATTATTCAAGTTCTTTAATATTTTATGGATAGATCTCACCCCTGAGAATGTCTGACAATCCTTTTTAAGAAAGATACCTGTTGTCCTTAATGGGAGTTTAGGTGGGACTGAGAGCAGAGAACTGAACAGTGGTGTGAGTGACATGGTCCTTGCAGACTGGTGAAGAATGAGAGACAAAAGCCCCAGAGTAGTCACCTTGGGCTTCAGTAATTGTATTTTACCTGTAAGTACTTTCAAGCTGTGTACCCAGGAAGGTGTTCTGAAAATAAAAAGTGACACTCTCCCCTGCAGGAGTCTTCTCAGGCACCTCAGGCAAGCAAAACACAACCCACGAGTGAATCTCAGCAAAACTGAACTGGCCTTTGAGCATCAGTGTATTCATGGGCCTGTGACATTATGACATACAGGAAAAAAAAAAAGTTAATAGTTCTGAAGGAGGGGCACTGGCAGTGCTCTGGTTATCCATATGAAAAAATGTATTTTCACATGGTCGTTTCCTTTTTATCAGCACCCTGTAAAAAGTCAGGTATCTTGCTAAGTAGTTACATATTGCAGATTACAGGTTACTTTTCTCTATTTCAGGAGAAAAAGCTACGAGTACATTCAAGTTTTATCTCCTAGTGGGCATGTCAGAACTGGATGAGAAACACAGCAAGTATGACTAAGAGCCTCACCAGTCTCCCATGCTGTAAACCACAGACACAGCACTTACATCAGTAACAAGACTTAATGGAGCTCATTTGTACATTGAGGCATTTACACATAAAAGCATTTGGTATCATTCCTTCAATCTTTCAGTTTTGTCTTCAAGCAAGAAATACCTTGGTAGCAATACAGTATGTCGGCTGAGGGTGGGGAAAAATCAAGTAGAAATTGCATAAAACTAGGTTACTAACAGACAGATGGGGGGTAGTTGGTCTTGGCTCAGTTTTGTAGCCAAATTAGCTATGGGAAAGTATTACATGAAAAGGGTGGAGAGGAGAATGAGGCTGAAAGTGAAAAGCCTGCGGTTAGTAACTCAGAAGAGTCTCCCTTCTACCACACCCTCAGCTCTAGGAACACCTGGGGCTGCACTGTAACCAAGGTCAGTAAAATGGAAAATAACCTGAAAACAAGGATAAAAGACAGCAAGAAAAGTAGGAATGCATTAAACCTGTATTTTCTGTCAGAAAATCCATAAAATGTAACTACAGGCTCAAAACTGTAGGTAAATTTTTAGGAATGACACACTTAAGTACACAGAGTAAACGCTGTTTCAACTGGATTGTGTCAGTTTTTCAAGGGAAAAAGGCATCAATTTTTCTATTCAAATACCTGTCAAGGTCAATAGAATGAGTTCTCTGATGAAGAGAAAGTGGTTTAATTTGATATTGATGAACTTGGCAGGTTTTTGGTTGAATTCTTGGAGTTACATATGCTTGAAGTGTCCCATACTGTCCTTCAATCGATCGAACCTGCAGAAATAAAAGCAGAACCCATAAAAAAAGAACAAAAGGGAAAAGATTAATTCACCACAATTTTGAAAATTGATGGGTATTAAAAATATGTTAAAGAAAGACTGTAGTGCTTCAAGAATATTTAGAGTACTACATGCTTGATAGTGCCGTTACGAATAAAGCAGATCAGGAATGTTTTAAAACTAGATGAAGTGCTGCTATGTTAGATGAATAAAATATTAAGAAAATAAAACCTGCTAACTTACTTTCTGATCAGTTAAAATAAAAAAGTCTGTATCTTGTTTCTAATTCTCCAGTAAAACAAAACAACTGAGGAAAAAATACCTTCTGTAGCAGTTGACAGCAAAGAATAGATAAAAGAACTTAAAACAGCAAAATGAATTTCAAAATATGTGTTCATCTCTTCATAACAAAGTTCTTACTGAGCTATTTTTGGAAAAGTAAGACGCCAAATTTCAGTTCAACTCACAGAATACCCAACAAGCAGGACGTGCAAGCACATTCAAGACACAGTACACACTCTCCACACCTCTGAGGACACAGCAGAGCATTAAGCACTTCTCTGCTGAGACCAGTTACACAAAGTGCACTAGTAAGTCTGCCATTCACACAGAATTGACAAGAAACAGAAGATCCCCACCTGTAGTACCAACACAGCTGCCCAAGTAGGCAGAAAAGCTACTGGAACACCTTTATACAATGGGAAAAAAAGAGCAGACTGGAATTCCAGTACAGGTTTGCTTTATAACTTTGTTTATGTCCCCTGTTTTATAGGGTCTCAGAACTCAGAAGGCAGTGTTTTGCAGGAAGACCATCCACTTCAGTGTTTCTAACAAATACAGGTTAGTAAAGAGCTCTATTTGGAAATAAAATCACAAAGACTTAAAAGCTGTATCAACCCCCAATTTCCCCACATCTAATACAGGCTTAAATTGATAATGATGATTTTTCCACTGAGAGCTTTAGGTAAACAAAAACGTATCAAATTAGGAGGCCTCAGGCAACTACTTGAGAGAAAACCTAGAGCCTGTGTGCATGGTGAGGATTTCCTAATCATGATTTCCTTCACCACTTCCCCTGGTGGTATCAGCAAAACATGTGAATTTGGCAGCTCATTAAAAACAAACCCCTAAGAACCCATATGCTGCTAATGTAGTAAGTGTGGAATTACTGGACTTGCTGCTTCTCCAGAATACAAATCCAGTCTCTATTCCCTGGTTACTTCTCAGCATAACTCCTCCAAACAGTTCCAAGGACAAACAGTTACAGAGGTTGTTTTCTTTTCCCATGCCTCTCTCCACTTTAAGTTCCACACACTGTCTCCAGAATCAAGCATTTTCACAATCTGTGATTTCCCCACTACTTTCATCCTAGGGACACTTGAGAAGGACCCCAGGCTCTCCTCTGAAGCAACACATTTTTAGAAGGCTTAAGAAACTCTACAGACAAATACAAAGGAACACAAGCCCCAGATTAGAAGGTTGTCAGGTAACAACAAGCGGTAGAAATTGGATTGATCGTTCCAGATAGAGATCCCTCCAGTCCTAAGAAGACACCTACATAATAATTAATTTTTTCTGAAAAATATTTTGGAGCACTTTACCTTAAGTTCAAGCCTGGTAGTATTTGCTTGGCATCGGTAAGTCGCAAGAAGAAAGTTGCTATTTGGCTGTGAACAGAAAAGAACCAGAAAACAGTACAAAACAGGTCTGTGGATTCACAAACGTTCTACTGGTTTGAACTGTAAACATGTACAGCGAGGTTTTTGCTACTTATGAACAGCTATTTTACAAAAGTTAAACATAAACCAGTAATCTTTGATTCCCTTGAATATTCCAATTTTAATGATGGTAGCATTTTTAAAAAATTCTCTATATAGGAAAAACAATCAACGAAAGCCTCTTATACTCTTTAGTACCACCATGAAAACTATACAGGTATCGTGTTTTTCATCTGAAGAATTTATCTGTCAGCCAGCCCCTCACACCTGCAGTATCAGTCCAACAAGCAAAAACCAAAGTAAGAACAGTAATGAACACATCCAAAAAAGCTAAAGTTATTATCATGAATTACAAGAAACTTAAAATAAAAAGTTGATTTCTGAAAGCTCCAGGGTAAACTAATGATGTGCAAGTTTAGTTCTTAAAACTAAAATACTACAACACAGTTACAAGGAAAAAGAGTTCACCCAAGATTTTCAGATGCTAAGGTAGTTTCTGGATTTCCCCCAGCCCTAACCATCATTAGTAATTTTATAAGTAATTAAGTTTATAATTACTATATTAAAAATGACTGTAAGATATGACGTGCCAGACAACAGAATTTTCACATTCTAAAGGGCTTTAAGAGATACACTATGTAAGAAATATAATGTTCTTCTCTTAAATTACTTCAAAGTAAATTAATGTGATGCTGGCAAACCCAGAGAAAAGAGCAATACTCCATGTATTTGCATTCCTGATCAGGCAGGAAAAAAGAGTGAGAGCAGTTGGTTCTGGATCCTTTTGCACATGTTTAGCTTTGCTGTGTATCAAGACCTGCTGCTAGCTCCTAATTCACCCTAACATCTTTGTCAGTGACAGGGACAGTGTGACTGAGTGCATCCTCAGCAAGTTTGCTGATGATACCAAGCTGGGTGGGGTAGTTGACACCATAGAGGGAAGGGATGCCACCCAGAAGGACCCCTGACAGGCTGGAGAGGTGGGCCCATGCCAACCTCATGAAATTCAACAAGGCCAAGTGCAAGGTCCTGCACCTGGGCTGGAGGAATTCCAGGCACAATTACAGGTTGGGCAGAGAATGGATTGAGAACAGCCTTGAGGAGAAGGACCCAGGAGTGCTGGCCAATGAGAAGCTCAACATGAGCTGGCAACATGCACTTGCAGCCCAGAAATCCAACTGTGTCCTGGGATGCATTGAAATAAGTGTGGTCATCAGCAGTTTGAGGGAGGTGATTCTGCCCCTCTACTCCACACTTGTGAGACCGCACCTGGAGCACTGTGTACAGCTCTGGAGCCCTCAGCACAGGAAAGGCAGGGAGCTCTTGGAGCAAATCCAGAGAAGGGCCACAAAGATGATCAAAGGACTGGAGCACCTCTGCTATGGAGACAGGCTGAGAGAATTGGGGCTGTTCAGCCTGCAGAAGAGAAGGTTCCAGGGGGATCTTATAGCACTTTCCAGGACCTGAAGGGGCTACAGGAAATCGGGGGAGGGGCTTTTTACAAGGGTGTGTAGTGATAGGACAATGGGTAAAGGTTTTAAACTGGAAGAGGGAAGATTTAGGTTAGACATTAGGAAAAAAAGTATTTAATGTGAGGCTGGTGAGACACTGGCACAAGTTGCCCAGGGAAGTTGTGGATGCTCCCTCCCTGGAAGTGTTCAAGGCCAGGTTGGATGGGGCTTGGAGCAACCTGGTCTAGTGGGAGGTGTCCCTGCCCATGCAGGGGGGTTGGAACTAGATAATCTCCTAGGTCACTTCCAACACAAACCATTCTATGATTCTGCAGTATATCTAATGAAGCTGAGCTCTCAAAAATTACTAAAAGTTTAGTTTAACTCAATATATTTTAAATTACAAATATATAAATCGAAATTCTATTTTTAACATACAATATTAAGAGCTTTCCTCATTCAGCCTCTGTTGTTTCACTCACCTCAGAATCACAGCTGCTAAAACTAACAACAGCAGAATTTTTGTCTACATCCAGCAAGTCTACTGGTACATCACTCTGCAGAACACATGAGGAAGGAAAAATAAAGAGCTTAAGTTCCTGAGCAGCTTCTAATGCATTTATCCTCTAACTGCCATCAATTACTTTAATGAGAGTCAATGACTGCTTCATCCAAGAGGTAACAGCCAAACAGACACATTGTACTACTTAATCCTGGAAAATGATGTTCTTTCTCTTCTTCTCCTACAGAGAGTCCTGAACTCTTCTGTGGCTGGTGTACAGCTTCAGTGTAAGATGCACAACTGTCTTTCAGACATGAAAGTAAACTTCATTCATATGCATCAAGTATCTTCATCATTGAAGTGTTTCCCTGTTTTAACAGGGGGATTACAGTATTCATTCAGGAAACCAAGGAGTGTATTACATAATTATTAATAATCCTTTTATTTACAATAACACTTCTGATAGACACCACTTCTTATCTAGATATGTTTCCACTGGAATTAAAATTAAATACAACACTGTTTTGATAATGAGATTAAATGGTATTAGAATGATTAATTACTTGATTTGGTACTACTTTATAACTTCATATAAGTGTCAAGAAACACTGATAAACATGCACCATGCTTCCGAAAAACATTCTAAAACAGCTTAATTCTTTTCTCACAGGACAGAAATACCAGACATGGCTTTTTTTTTTTTTTTTAAGAAATATAAAGCACTAAGTTCAAGCCTAGATTAAATAATTTCATTTTTCCTCACTTAACAGCAGATACAATAGAGCTGCATATTAGCTGTAGCTTAGCAGGGCTCTACTAACAACCTGAATAAGAAATATTTTTTATTAAAAAATGAAAACCAAAATCCTACAGTAGTTGTCACCAACTTGTTACAGCAAATTCACTTCACAAATTCCTCCTTGACAAATTTTTCCTTCCCATGCATGTCCCAAAAGAAGGTAATTCAGTACCACTACTCTTTCTGACTACCAGAGATAACATTACTTTCAGCTGATGCAGTAGGAGGAATAACTGATTAAGGTTGATCTATGTGGCAGGTGCATTAATCATCAATTGCAGGCACATCAGATGCTGTTCCACACTCAAAGTGTACAGATGGCTCATACCATTCTAAAATTAATTTCCCAGTACAGCAGTTACTTAACTGGCAACTGAGATTCTGCACCTCATTTAAGACTTGAGACTGAATTGATGTTTTAAATCAAGAGAGACACCTAAAAGCAAAAACCCAGAATTATACAGAAACCTGCTAGTACAGCAGGCATTTTTGGGCTGTTTCAGTAGTACTGCAATGTTGCTCTGTTCAATGAAGGATTAAGTTGCACTTGTTCCCTAACAAGCTTTTACAAGAGTCACTTCAACACTGCAAGGCTATATGCTTCAGTGCCCTCATATAACAGTTCATGCATTTGAAAATTCACATACTTAAGATACTGTTACTCAGCTTTTTAAACTAGAAAGTCTCTGAACATTTTATTTAGATATCAAGAAACTCAGCAAGAACAAAACCAACACTCACCTGTACCAGGACATTATCTATAGCTGTCTGCACCTCCAAGATGAAGCTGTAGCTAGCATCATCCTTATTTAATGTAAACTTATCATTCACACTAAATGCAGGTACTGATGAAACAGCAGTACTGGACTGAGCAGATTGCTGGTATTTTTCACGTTCCTGAAGTACTTTCATCTGTAAGTGCTCCAATTCATTCCTAGAAAATGGAAACCACATATAATGTCTAAAAAAAACCAACTGTAAAAGCTACCCTAGAAATTAGGTAGATTAGGCTTGCAAGGCAATCATGTTTATCTTCTGTCCACAATTTTCCAACCAGAAGTGACTGGTGACTCCCCTTCCACATACACAACAAATATAACGTATAAACTATGTATCACATGAAAATGTAGATTCTACTGTAATTTTCAAAAAGAAGATTTAGATGAGTCACAGGAAAGAACAACCTTCTTCCTTCAGGAGTACAACACATTTTGAATTATATGCTAGCAACTACTTTCCTCCCATCATTTGGAAGCTACAAGCAGCATGGAAGAAGGGAATATTTTCTTGCTGATACTGAGGAAGAAGGCATTAAAATATAATTTTGTGAAGGCAAGCCACAAAGAGGCTGTGAAATGAGGCTGCTACTCATTTCTGCTTGGAAAAGGCTTGATTCTACTTAGAGATATATTAATGATACAGAAAATCAAGTGAGATAGGAAGGAAAGATGACATTTCAGCTTTTAACATTTTAATTCATCAATTTAAATGTCTTTCTAGTGTAATTACCTTAAGGATGAAATCTTGCTCTGCATTTCTTGACTTAATTTTAGTTCTTCACCTGATCCGCCTTCTCTATGGACAGGTTCTGTAGTCAGTCCTGTCAGCCAGCCTAAACCAATATATGAAGTTTATATTCCTTATAAGCTATAAAGCAAAGCCTACACTCAGCTTTTGTATGTGTAGAGTGATGTTTGTTACAGACACTAGGCAGAGAGAATCAAGGCTTTAATTTAATCTTTTATTTGGAGAATTAATCTAGACACTGAGCATGATTTTCTTATGGGTTTCATTCTTACAGACTCGAAAATATTACTTATTCTTTTCATTAAGTACTTTGAGCAGTAGATCCCTGTGTCAATTTTTAACTGAGGTCTTAAATTTTTTCCCACCCATTTCTCTGACAAAACAAACAAATTGGCAGTACTATAGTTGGAAACAAAACAAAACAAGCTGTGCAATGTGTTTATAGTAAAGTGTATGTTGCACAGTGTGCTTTGAGATTGAATGCTGCCAGCTGAAGTGGAAAAACAAATAATCTTTTTGTACACTTAATTATATTTACTCATAAAAGCAAAGGATAATTGATTGTATCCTGACACCTGAGGTATGATACGCAGACCTGAATGGGTGTTTAAAGCTCTAGTTACCTCATCTAATGCATGCAAACATTAAGACAGCATTATTATAAAATGCACCATAAAAGCTGATTTGTCCACAATCTTTCACATGCCTTAGCTATCTACTTCAAGAAAGCCCAACGATGAGGCATCAACCTTTAGAAGTCCACAGAAGTCCTACAGTGCCAGGCTTCAAATATGACTTTTACTGCTCTGAGCATAACTTTTCCAGATCTGCCAAAATCTACCACTTAGGTTACTGCACCTCCTACCACAGTTCACCTTTGAAAACCCATAGGTGAACACAGGCTTTTGTGTTTTTCTTTCTTCTATGATTCACAGATCGTTATAACATTCCCACTGAAGGAAGCCACAAAGTACTTTGGCCACAGTATTGTTGCAGCCTATCATCATACCAGAACAATTCACACGAGGTGAGGCATAGAAGTCTTTTAACCATACAAAGACTATTTAAAAGAGGTGCTTGGACACGGTTGCTTTGCAATAACTGTCTGAAAATTGTATCTTGCTGAAGTATGTGATTTTGAATGTGAGAGGTTTCAGTACATTAATTTTTTTAGCACTGAAGATAAACAAAGATAATTATTAATATTTTAGCTGCCAGCAGTTAACATATGCAGTCTGTTTATCATGGCCTCTGTGACAGTCAGAACAATAGCTTCAAACCCTAGAGGGGGGCTGCTCAGACACCTCACGTGGGGAAGCCTTACTTTCTACTAACTGCAAAATCAATCCCATTTAAAGCCCTAAGAAGCTGAAAAGGAAGGAAATTACATGCAAGACCGGGAAAAAAAAAAATATATATATGCAAGTCCATCAATATTTTAAAACCCAAACAATTGTAAGTAATTCCTTCAGACATAACACAGTAATTATTTCACCACAGTTAGGCAGCAGTCTACACCAGAGAATAACCAGCCATTCTGTTACACCACTGAACACATTATGACAATCTTAAAATATAAAAGCACAGTTTAAGTGTAGGAAAAATTTCTGAAGTGTAAATATTAAATTTGATCTTTTCAACCAAACATTATCCTGGCTCCCATAAGAAAAAAAACAACAGTTAAGAGATACAAAATGCACTAACAACAAAGCCTGCTTCATTTTTATCACATCACCACATGTGAGATTTTCTGAGTGATATGAAGCTTACCTGAATACGTGGATGCTAAAATTTCATCATAGCCATCTTTTCCTACACAGCCACCCTGGATTGATGCAATGCTCTCTGATAAAGCCTTCAAATAAACACATTCAAACAGAGGGAAATATCACTGCACTCATTTTAGAAGTCTGGGTTGTTGGGTTTTTTGGGGAGGAGGGTTTAAGGGCTGTACTCCTCCTTTTACCTGATTCAGAAAATACCTACATAGATGCACAATATCTAGACCTACAAAAAAATAAGCTCACTGATGACTATCACAGCTAAGTCAGGGGGAGTTTAACAAAAGCATTCTGATTCTACTATGCATTAAAAAGAGATTAAAAAGCAGTTTAAAGCAAAACACTGATGAACAATATTTTCATAGCAGGAATTAGCAATCTGACTGAAGGCTGATATAGTCACTATGCATCCAATCTATTATTTTAAACAATTCAGTACCAAAGTAATTATGCTCAGTAAAGTCCTGACAGCTTACATTTAGCATTTTAAATGTAAAACACAGACTATACACAACATGGAGTTGTTTTTTTCATTGAGAGAGAAGCACAGTACCAGATTTCACCCAGGAGATACTACAGTAGTCAACAGAGCCAGAACTAAATGTACCCGCTGCGCTATTTTGATTTTTGCTTAAATCAGGACTATTTCACTTTCTGTTTTTTAAATATTAAGGTACAATCATAGCATGGTTAAAGTCGGAAGGGACTTTAAAGATCATCAGGTTCCAACCTCCCTGCTATGAGCAGGGACACCTCACACTAGACCAGGCTGCACAAACCTCATCCAACCGGGCCTTGAACACCTCCAGGGAGGGGGCTTCCACAACCTCCCTAGGCAGCCTATTCCAGCACCTTACTACCCTCATGGTGAAGAATTTCTTCCTGATGTCTAACCTAAATCTATCCTCTTTCAGTTTAAAACCATTACCCCTTGTCCTATCACTGCCCGCTCTGGTGAAAGATAGTGCTTTGAACTTCATATTGTCAACATTACAGAGCTCATAAAATTAAAAATAAAATACACATTTTAGTAGCAATGACCTTTGAAATACTTTAGGTTTTAAATTACAGATTTTATTTTTTTTTTAATTCCTTTTTCCAGCAAAGACAAGTGTGATGAATGTGGGCTTACATGGTCATATTGAAGGACAGGCTCATCTGCACTCTCAAAGTTATAGATTTCTAGCATTCCATCATCTCGTCCAACGAGTAATTCCTTAACTCCATCTCCCAGAATGTCAAAACTATCAATACATAAGATACCTAATGAAAAAGAAAACGAAATAATTTATTTCACCTTGATAAATATGACACAATAATCCACGGGCCACAGGAAGAGACTCTTGGTCGGCTTTAGTTTTATTAATACTACTTCTGGACGAGTCCACTAGGGGGCTGAAGCCTCTGAGGCTCAAGATAGTACAGTGGGTTTTAGAGTAACCAATTCCAAATCAAAACCACTACAGTTCCCTTGGTGAAAAACACTGAACAGAAACCCCTTCTTATGTTCAGATACCTCACTTTTGAGGGGTGTATTTCTTCCAGATGAACTATTTGTCCGTCCACACCACTGTAACCTGGCCAGAAGCAAGCATTCCTTGCTTCCTGCAGTTGACTTAAAACTATTGGTCAAAGGACCACTAGGGATGCTGGTTAAAGTGACAGAGAGGGGGCTGTGACTTGTGCCAGACCTGGACTAGGTACTGCTCCTTAACACATCAGTGGCCCAAACTCACTCGCATATGTAGAATCAGCCTGTGAGGGCTAATCGTGGTGAGACAGGAAAGAGAGTTAGGGCCTGGAAGAAGGAAAAAGCAGTGAGAGATTTTGTAAAAGTATTAGTAAGAAAAACTAGATGGAATTTAACTTTTAGGACTCCTTCATATTTTATATGAAGAGTAAGGACACATTAGGAAGCATCTGAAGAAAATAATTCGGCAATTGCTTTTACATGATAATACAATTTTTGGAAGTAGTATAATCTATTATTGGACTTCTCCTTTACAAAGGAGTAGAGATGAATAGATGCTGCAGAAGCAGCATGCCAAGGCTAAAACAGGGAGAGTGTCACACTAGGTTCTGTTCAGTTTAGTCTCGTTGTTGAGCTTTATTCCATCTTCAGAATAAAACCCTTATTTTTTCTTTTTTAACAAAAAAAACCAAACCAACCCAAGTCTTGCAGGGAAGATGCTAGCCTTTCCTCTGAAGAGACCACTGCACATCTGAAAAATCTGGCAGGTATATTTGCACTTAGAAATAGTCATCAAATGATAAGAACCTCAAGTAACCATACATATATGGATCAACACTGTTTCACACATGCCACTTTACATATACTGTAACAACAGAAGCATAGTAAAGTATGGGTAACCATATGAACAAAAAACCCAACACAAAACGGATTTATTAAAACTGTTTATAAGAAAACCGGAAGAATTAAAGAGAATTTACTCATAACAATATCAATACTGACATAACTACAACATGCCTCCAATATATTTATGAATAAGATTTCCTGATTATTACACTTGTAATAAAGCCTCAGATATGCTGGAAGGCTGAAGAGCAAAAGATTGAGACACTTACCTCCTCTCTTTTTTTCATTTCCAATCTCCCACTTAGGTACAGGGCTGGAACCAGTGATCTGGATAAGACCCAGTTTCCCATCAGAAGTTCCATACACAACTTCTTCTCCAGAGTCACCTAAACACATGAACTGCATTTAGACTTGATAAAAGCAAGGACACCAATTTAAAAGAGTTGAAAGTATTCTGTAGTTACACTCTACAGCCTGAGGGAAAAAGAAAATACTAACATTAGTGCTGTGCAACAGGAATGTCAGGCTTTATAAACAAAACCAGATACATGAAAACTGCACCTGCACTGATAATTTCTTCATGGCTATCACCGCTCTGTGTATGAATACCTCCCTGCAGTGCAGCTGCTTAAAAACCACTCATAATTCAATAACTGAAATTTCAGCAAAGATAGGCTATTAAATTGCCTTTACAGAACAGAAACAAAGATCTGTTCAGAACACCCATCCAACAGTGAGTGTTTTGGAAAAGACTCAAGCAAGTAACAACTCCTTTTCCAAACCAGCCCTGAATGTCGTTGTCACACAATCTAACTGAAACTAAATTAAGCACCAGATTAACACAGTAAAGCGATTTCTATTAGGTTAGAACAGATTAGCCAAAAGGATGATCAACTATTTTAAGCTTGATCTTTCCACAGTCTTTAGTTTACGTGAGCTCTACTCAATATTCTCATCCATCCATCGATGGATATAACTAGCCATTCTACTGCTGGAAATCCAGGTGTGAGAAGCACAGAACATTTGACAAGGCCCCCAAAAGTCCAGTTTTTATTTACACAATGAGACCACCTTGTACCTCACTGCTCTTCTAAGAGGCTTTCAATTAAATGTGAATATAATTTGGAACTGTCTAGAATAGGCTCATGTGTGTATATATTTGTATGTAAGAAATGACTTCACGTAACTGTTTTCTGCTGCATTTGTAACATCAGCTTAAAATCGAGGCAAAAGGTAATTAACAAATACAAGCAATAAAATTTTTAAAATGCAGTAATATAATACTATTTAGTTATGTCTATATTAAAAATCTTGTTACCCCCATTTCCATTGTTTAAAGCAAGAACAGTAGGTGGTCCAGGAACTTCTACTTCACAGAGTAAATCAGATCCCTAAAGAAAAGAGAACCATCTTGAGTGAGTTTTGTAAAAAACCTCAAAAAACCAAACAAAAACACACTGACCAAAACAAAAAACAAGCCAGAACAAAATCCCACAAGCATAAGGGCAGAATTATTATAAATAACAGTAATGGATGTGCTTCACTTACACAAACTCCCAATACCTACAGGAGAACGATTTCTAAACCAAAACAGCATAAAGTTTACATAAATGACATAGAGGACTCTTGAAATGTGTTATTATTAAAAATAATCTGCAAATTTTCCCAGCAAATACTTTTGTTAAACCACTTAGTATCACTTGGACTTGTTTCAACAGTAATTTGCAAGACCATGAACTTCCAAACTAGAAAAGACTTATCTAGTAGAGACATCTAATACATAAATAAATATAAATACATAAATAAAAGTGAGCACTTTTATTTAGAAGGGACCAATTTGCTACCTACTTCCACCTATGAATTTCAACCACCTACTTATAGTGGTTTTATTAATCCTCATTTAGCAAGTTTATAGTAGCTATTTTCCTTTGAAAAAAATAAATTAGGTACCAGCATTACAGACAGTAACACTGCCAAATAAGAAACAATATATTTTATCCTTATGACATTTAAGCACACTGATACACTGATTCCCTTAAGAGCTAGTCCAAAATACATGAAACATAAACAAGTATTTTAACCTGTAAAACTCTGAGGACTCTATCCTGACATGCAAGTACTGGTGTAATGCAATTCACTTTATCTACAGGAAGGCAGAGGACATCATTGATTTTATCTCCTGATAGGTAGTAGTGCTGGTCTTTGCAGTCGCAGTAATGGTTATAGATGTAGCTTGCACAAAGAAAGAGATCTGCTCCTGAAATATGCCTGAAAAGAGAAAACACTTCCTGTAGCATTTTCCCAGTACAGCTGCAGTGACAGTCTTTTAGCCCTACTGTATGCACACACTGCCACTTGCAGATTCAAGGCATCAGTGGGCCCTGCAAGATGTTTCAGCTTATAGGAGAAGTTTCTTACGAATGCTAAAACCATAGGATTTCTGTAGCTCTCAAATTTCCTCTTTTGTCTTCACGGAATGTTTTAAGAGTATCTTGATGGAAATTTTATTAATATATTTTTCTGATACCATTCTTCTCACACCAGTTTATATCCAGCAGCATCTTACAACACAATGCAAAAAAAGAAAAAAGATGTATTTTTGCCTGTTCTGCTACAGGAAGGGTATCTGAACATGATACACCATGGCAGAAACCCCAGCTCTGCTCACCTACACTGGCACTGACATGAGTGCCTCCAGACCCCACCCAAGGCCCCTACACTTTCCAAATTTCACCATGAGTTTCTAAGTCCCTTCCTACATATCATGGCTCAAGCTAAAGCTGGACTGGCACCTAGTGTTACCTACAAGTACTCAATACAGTCAAAAATATTTCATAAAATAAGAAACTAAGAATCTGTTATGGCTTTGAAAGAAATGCAGAATACCATACATACATGGCTTTGATGCTTTCAGTGAGGTTAGTTTCAAATGAAAGAAACTGCTTCCCTCTTTTTGTGAAACCTCTCACTTCTGATCCTGTAGCCACAAAAATTTTTTCCTGTGGTGTATTAAGAGCTCCTCCCAACTCCAATCGCGCAATTTTTTGGCCTGGCAGTGTCTTGAACACTGGCTGTAAATAGAAAAGCAATTTTCATCATCACAGTATCATGTTTATGGTAATCTTTAAGATAAAGGATAATAAACTTGTTCTAGAATTTCTGGGAAAAGTAAGGATACTATGGATTAGATGAAGAGAAAAATAATCTATACACTTCTCTTCTGAGTCACCATAGAATCATAGACCAGTTTGAGTCGAAAGTGACCTTAAAGATCATCTAGTTCCAACCCCTCTGTGTGGGCAGGGACACCTCCACAAAGCAGTCAGCCATATTATAAGTCAATAAATATAAAAAGATGTAAAATATAGTAAATTTAGACCAGTATTTCAGTGTCATTCATCCACAGGAAAAATTCAGCCGTTTTTTGTTTGTGTATGAGGTTTTTAAGAACACCACATATACACAGGACTCTCTCCCTCTCACATGTTAAACACAGAAAGATTACACAGATTGATTTGCACTGCTAGAGTCCTTATGAGCTATGATCTTTCTCAGTGGGAGAAAAAATAAAATGATCACATTTTATTTTGCTGGGCATAAGTCTAGTCATAAAAAGCAACCAGTCTGTCAAAATCCCTTAAGGTGACCCACACGACTCACTGTGGGTTTTTGTCCAGTCACAGTAACAGCCACATGTATACAAGGCTACATTCCAAATGAACTGGGAAGCAAAGACATTAAACTGACTTTTTTTTTGTGACTGGATAAACTAGTTTCTGACTCCACAACTGTGAAGGACCCTATGCTTGTCCAGGTATGAAATCAGCATGCCCTCATCACTACTTGGCATCAGTCCACAGCTCTACCCACACACTTTTCCCCAGATACCTTATTTCCCATGTCAATAAAAACAGAGCTTCACAGTTCTTCAACAGGAATATGTAAAAAAAACATTTTTAAAGGGAACATTTCCACTTACCACAGCTTCCCCTTTTTTAATGCCAAAGCACGTAACGACCCCATCCTGATCTCCAACAACCACCTTCAAAAGTGCAATACAGCATTATCTTTTAATTACATGCATAAATGTTTCTTAAATAATGCTTTTCCTATATTAACCATAATTCCATGTATTTAGGTATTTCTAATACTACAGCACTTAGTTTACATAGTTATATGTAAGTTTATCTAGCTTTAGGAAGCTAGATAAACTGCTATAAATAGAACACTAAAGCCCCAGAATGACAGGTGAAGTGACAGCACTGACAACCCTTTTTTTGCTTCTAGTTGTAAACCATCAGATGGAACACTCCAAAAAAGGCCTGTTTGGGAAAAGTTTTATTTTCATATTGAGAACTTACTATTAAACAAAAAAATGCACCAAGGGTTTTCCTACATAATTTTCACAGAAATGTACTGGTGGGAAAAGACCTTTAAGATCAAGCCCAACCATGAGCCCAGCACTGCCAAGGCCACCACTAAACCGTGTCCCTCAGCACCACATCGACTCCTCTTCTAAACAGCCCCAGGGATGGTGACTCCACCACTTCCCTGGGAAGCCTGTTCTGGTGCCCAACAACCCTTTCAATGAAGAAATTTCTTCTAATACCCAATCTAAACCTGCCCTGGAACTTCAGGCCATTTCCTCTTGCTCTATGACTTGTTATTTAGGACAAGAGACCTCACTACGACCTCCTTTCAGGTAGCCGTAGAGAACTTGTATTAAGGAAGATTAAAAGAGGAATGTTTCATCCACTCTACGTGCTATCAACCAGAAAAACCTCCTCCAGAGCCCGCCCCAGCTCCTGCTGGCGATGCCCACGGCCGCTACCTTCTGGGTCGCCTTCTTCCCGGAGGCGGGAAGCAGCCTCATGGTCTTCTGCGCCGTCACCCCCGCCTGCGGACAGACACACCCTTCACCCG